AAAACAAGCAGGATTGGTATGTTTGCCTTTGAAGCTACCTAACATTTGTGTACGGTGCTGGGAAGAAGTTGTGTCACCCTTGAAAGAGTGGATGGCACCCTTTAAAGAATGAAGAGTACTCTGGTTGCAGCTTTTAAATTTGGGGTTACTTTTGTTTTTTATTTATATATCCCAAGGCGTTGGAGTCAATTTTCTGGGCTCATTGAATATCTTGTAAATGCAGTGGGCAAATAAGGCACTGTGAGAATAACGTATGCATATAAAAGGCTGAATGTAGATGCCGAAAAAAAGAATAAGTTTTATTTTGTTAAAAGTTCTATTTTGTTAAAATATCAGTTTAGAATTTAGGGTTTAGAATTTATATATCATCTTGACAAAGTAAGAGGGGGGTTTGCTTGATGAAGTAAATTACATAAATACTATAAAAATTAAAAAATGTTTGCTATAAAAGTTTTAAATAAATTAGAAAAAATAAATGTATCGAATATAATATTTAATATTTTGTACAACCAAATGTTGTTACTTTTTTTTTTTCTAAATCAGCTTGTGTTAATTAATTCTAAAAATCCTGAATTTAATATTTATTTAAATATCTAACTAATTTTATATATTTTAAATTTAATATTTTTATAAATATCTAATCCGAAGAATTCTGAATTTAACCTGTAGTCTTAGGATAAATGTTGCTATTGATTGGCCTCTAATGGTGTTCTCCTCTCCATTGACAGAGCAATAACTGTACAGCAAGTGCTCGGCCTTGGCTTTGCTAGCTACCATATGCACACGATGCTTGATAGATTGGCTCCATTCATGATTGCAACATAAAAACAGATCAAATCCTTCAATCCATGTGCAGAGATTACAAAATGTGTGGCAACAGAAAATGAGTTGCTGTGTCGGTGTCCCCAACCCGCCTCGCTGTAATTTTCTTCTTCTACACAATCAATTAAAGAGCTAAACTTGAAAGGAGAAAGAAAAAACAGACCAAAGACGAAGTGAGGGAGGGAATGGACATGCAACCACCGGGATTTTTTATTTTTATTTTTTTGGGAGGGGGGGCTGGGATTTGGGGGTTTATTTAAATTTTTTTTTATGTTTTGGATTGTTTTGATATGGTAATATTAAAAATAATTTTTAAAAAATAAAAAATATTATTAACATATATTTTAATATAAAAAATATTTTAAAAAATAAAAAATTACCAAATACTTCACCTGCTCTGCTTACTGACATTAATAACATTTAATCTAAAGTAATGCTTTTATTAACTAGCCATTTATATGGAAAAAGAATCATTTACATAGCACGAATACTCATGGCTTGCTTGGCACTCGGAGATAGTAAGATGTCCCTCTATGATTTGTTTGTATGCATTGGAAGAAGGATTTGGGCTGGCAAATTTTATCGTGTATTAATTACTCCCGAAATCTAAAAACAAACAGAAAAGGAATGAAGAAAATAAAACGGGGAGGAAGGGTACGGGGTATTTCCTTACTCTGCCTGTGGTGTTAGTAAAATGTAATTATGAAAGGATTTAAGGTAAAATAGAAGCAAAATGCATGTGCGTTGAGATTAGTAAGAGGTGACAAACGGGTAGCCAACCTAGCATGGGGACGGATAGGTAGATAGATAGATAGAGGGAGGGAGAGGGAGAGGGAGAGTCGACTGGGGATGGCGATACTGAAAAGGAACAATTTGCTTCCCCACCCAAATCGCAAGCCACCCCATCTCAACTCAAATTAAAACGGACACAGCACAAACACAAACGCACGGTTGCTCACTGCCTCTTCCACTACATTCCTTTCTTTCCTTCCTTTTAGAGTATAATTGTTATTGTTGAATCAATGCTGGATCTTCTCCACTCCTGCTAATTACATACTCTGTTCCGTTTTGGCGGAGGCTGATTCTCTGCTTTTCACCTTTCAAAAGCAAAATCCGCCTCCTCTTTTCTCTGTTGTGTCCCTTTTTATTTTTTTCCTTTCTTGTAATATTAGTTGTTATTATTATTATTTGATTTGATTTCTGTAATTGAGAGATCTGCTTGTTAGAATATCAAATCTTAATCTAGAAATTAAAAAAAAAAGTTATAAAAATAATGGAGAGCGAGAACAAGAAGTCGGCGGTGTCGGATGTGGGAGCCTGGGCAATGAACGTCATCAGTTCCGTTGGTATTATCATGGCCAATAAGCAGCTCATGTCCTCCAGAGGTTATGCTTTCAGTTTTGGTATTGTTATTATCTCTACTCTATCTCTAGATCTAATCATTCATATCATACTACTAATAATTGATCCGTTGAATCTATTATTTTGCAGCCACAACCCTAACCGGCTTCCACTTTGCTGTAACGGCTCTTGTCGGCCTCGTTTCAAATGCTACTGGTCTCTCTGTATCAAAGCACGTCCCTATGTGGGAGCTCCTCTGGTTCTCCGTTGTTGCCAATGTCTCCATCACTGGCATGAACTTGAGTCTCATGCTTAACTCTGTCGGATTCTACCAAGTATGTGCTGCTTCTATTATTATTATTGCTCAACCCAACACCTACCTGCCAGATCTACTTTCCTTGCGTTCTTTTTTTAATCAACGCTATAGGACTCGCATCCTACATTTTCCATTACTAGTGATTTTTTCTTTTCCATCATAGCAGCTAAATGGTGCAATTAATTAATTGGTTCATGGTTCAGATTTCTAAGCTCAGTATGATCCCAGTGGTTTGCATAATGGAGTGGATCATTCACAGTAAACAATACTCCAAGGAAATCAAGTTATCTGTTCTCGTTGTCGTCATAGGTGTTGGTGTTTGCACTGTCACTGATGTCAAGGTTAATGCCAAAGGTTTTATATGCGCCTGTTTAGCTGTTTTGTCCACCTCTTTGCAACAGATTGTGAGTATTTTTTATAAACATTCCTTTCCCTTTATTTATTATATCTTTCCTTCTTTCTGCCTGCAAGCCCCACACCATCCCAGGACAGAAGTGCTCTATTAATAATCAGTTTTGTGACATTTGAACTTTGTTGATTTTTTGAGATGCATATGATTTTGATTCCACCTGCACCTCGAGACTTTTTGTGGGAAAATGAATTTGTGGATAATGCTAGCCTGTAAGATAGAGATCGAGGATTCTAAGGATCAATAAATAGGTAAGCCAAACCATTTGATATGGTTTCTTCCCATATAGATGTCAATGCAGCATTTGTAGATGTCTTTCTATCTCAATAACCCAATGAATTGGCCTCGGTTATTATAGAGTGAGAGAGAGGAGTGGCTGCATTCTTGTGAACTAAAATTTAACTGTTGTTTCTAATGCACTCTGGGCTACAAGGACGAGCTTCAACAAAGATGGAAAAATCTTCTTGTAAAAGGTTTTGAAAGAAAAAATGTAGTATGCAAGAGTCATAACCTTTTCAATTAACTGTTTCCAGGGCACGATACTATGGAATGTAGTCCAATCAGCACACGAGACCCTGTTATCATCTCAAAGCATGTTGTCACATAATACAGTGTTTCATCATGATAATGTTCGTGGAACAAATTTCATTTCTTTTTGTTTTACTTTGTGGAACAGACTATCGGTTCCTTGCAGAAGAAGTACTCAATTGGGTCTTTCGAGTTGCTGAGTAGAACAGCGCCAATTCAAGCCCTCTCTCTCCTTATTCTTGGTCCATTCATTGATTACTACCTTAATGGCAAATTCATTACACACTATAAGATATCTTCTGGTGCCATTGTAAGCTCCTCCGCTTTTTCTTTTGTTTTCCATTCATTCTTCACTGGATCATTTATATGCTGGAACAACTTTTGCCAACATTTTTAACTAATAACAAGTTTGAATTTGTGCAGTTGTTTATAATTCTTTCATGCTCCCTTGCTGTGTTCTGCAATGTGAGCCAATACCTCTGCATTGGAAGGTTCTCAGCTACTTCTTTCCAGGTTTTAGGTCACATGAAAACAATTTGCGTTCTCACACTGGGGTGGCTTCTTTTTGACTCTGAGCTGACTTTCAAGAACATGATGGGGATGGTTATTGCAGTTGTTGGTATGGTAGTTTATAGTTGGGCGGTGGAGGCTGAAAAGAGTTCAAATGCCAAGACTGTTCCCCATACAAAGAACAGTTTGACAGAAGAGGAAATCAGACTTCTGAAGGAGGGTGTGGAAAGCATGCCTCTGAAGGATCTTGAACTTTCAGTGTCTAAGGGGTAGGCATGCTTGCACTTGGCTGGGAATGCAGGTATTTTTATTTGTTTCGCTTCAGCATGGATGGCATCTTTGCCTCATTTATGGCATTGCAAGACCGGTCTCCGTCAGTTGACCACCCTCACAGAGTCTTAGAAATCGTGTTCTATTTACGAAAACCATTTGTTCTTTTACTAATTATTGCTTATCTTTTAAATTATTATTTTTTTGTACGTGGAAAGAGATTAGCAACGGAACAGTGATATGATAAAGAAACTGTAAACTTCATATATTGGAAGGAAAAAATGCTCTTAGTAAGCTAATAGAATTATGTTTTCCAATATAAACCATTTATGTTTTTGTCGAAATTGGCGTCAGGTTCTTTGCCAGAACCTGAACCATCATGACTGCGATTTTGGCGGTTAAAACCGGCGTCACACTTGCTATGGTTGTATTTGGAGCTCATTCTTATCGTTGGTTTTCTTCACTGCTTTCCGTTTTTTATTTTTGTTTTTCTGATCTGGCATCCTGGTTTCTTTTGATACTTTTTGCTGGCTTGCCTTTCGTTCTTCTCCATGCTCAGCTGTTTCTCGTTGGTTGTCGAGTGAATGCGCAATATACTTCTATAATATTTTTAGATTGATATGGTAGTTTTAAAAATAATTTTTAAAAAATAAAAAATATTATTTTAATATATTTCTAAGTAATAAGTATTTTAAATTGGATGATGAGTATATGTATGAATGAAGCAGATCTAGAAAGAAAAGAAACGAAAACTGCTAAAAACTTAATATCCAAACAAAAAATTACATGTAAAAGAATGGGAAAATGAATATACACGCGCACAAACAAGTATTTATACATGTACTGGTCATCAATGACAATGTTGACAATAAGGTGAAGTATTTCCAAGCGGAGGAGGATTGTATGGTGAGTGGTAGTGGAGCAGATGTTGGAAATGAGATCAGGAAGTTGCATGTATTGGGCAGTGGGATTACCGGTCTAACGAAGTCAAGGAGGTATTAGGACTTGGATATTGTTGGAGTTACTTCGTTTAAGTTTTGAAAAAAAACTGCAAGCTCTTGTGCACCTTAATTCTTCATGGAGATATTTCTGGAAAAGCTCAAAAGGTAAGGCAAGAATTATATGATTTTCAAGCTAGGCTACCGGAAAATCCCTCTAATATTCTTGTTAATGAGTAGAAGCGTTTATCTGGCTTGCTTATTGATTAAATAATGCTAGGGAGTCTTCCTATAAGCAAAAACCCAGAATCTTGTGGGTACAAGAAAGAGATCAGAAAGAGCTTTTTTCCACAGCTCGCAAGTCAAAAACACCATCTCTGTGCTTTATAATGCAGGTGGTGTTCGACTGACTACTTCTGATGAAATTAAGAAAGAGCTTGTTGACTTGTACTCTAACCTATTTGGTAATGCTAATGTTACTGGCGTCAGCATTGAGAAGTTGCAGTGTCTCTGTTTAGGAGAAAACTTTCTTCGGATCAACATCATTCTTTGTTAGCTGAAGTTACTCATGAAGACACTAAGAGAATGATGTTCTCATATAATGGTAGCAAAGCTTCCGATCCAGATGGAGTTTCTGCAGACTTTTATAAGAAATCTTGTGGAATTATGGGAGTTGATGTCACTGAGGCTGTGCTTCATTTCTTCCAGAACGGAAAGATTCTGAAAGTAATTAATTCTACTTCTAGCACCTTGGTTCCTAAAGTCCGAAATGCTAGCAAAGCTTTAGATTTTAGGCCCATCTCCTGCTGCTTTATTCTGTACAAATGCATCTCAAAATCCTGGCTAATAGAGCAAGACATGTTCTGCCTAGCCTTATTAGTCCAAATCAATCAGCTTTTGTGCACGGTAGAAGGATAGGTGATAATATCATTCTTGCTCAAGAAGAGGTTAGAGGCTATGACAGACAAAATCTCTCTCCCTGCACTTTGAAAATTGACTCAATGAAGGCCTTTGATGTTCACTGGAATTTCATGTTGAATGTGCTGGCTGCAATGAATTTTCCTTCTCAATTCATTAATTGAATCAAGGCCTGCATTACAACCTCAAATTTCTTGATTGCAGTTAATGGAGGTCTGTGCGGTTATTTTAAAGGGGAAAGAGGGTTGAGGCAATATGATCCTCTCTCTCCCTATCTTTTTCTTATTTCCATGGAGGTTCTCTTTAGTGTTCTAGACTCAACAGTGGCTGACGGGGAGATTGGTTTCCATCCTAGAGAAAAAAATTTCAATTTTTGTGAAAAAAATACTAATAAAAAATCTTTTAAATTTCAATTTGCAAGAAGATTGCCCTCTCTCATCTATGTTTTGCAGATGATCTTCACTAATGGCACTCCAAAGTTCAATCAGCAGTGTTACTTCTGTAGCTTGCAGGATTTCTTATTGCTCTGAAAATTCATACACGCAATCAAAATAATAAATTTAAAATAATATTTAGAAATTCCTAATATTATGTTATATAAATTTAGAGTTATTTAAGGGTTTATTATTTGAAAATCTGATTTTTTCTGGCTTTTAAATAATTTTAAAAAAATTAGATTATTACAAATCACAAGTTCTCTAATTACCAAACCTTCAATGATAATCCACGTTAAGTACTAATAAAAAATCTTTTAAATTTCAATTTAGAAAAAAAAATTGTTATACTTAAAATATTAACACTTTATTATGCGATTTACATAATTTTTGTGTCAAATAAACAAATTTTTAAAAAATAAAAGGCGTAACTTTATATTTATATGGAATTTTAAAAACTTTATAAATTACAAAATATCTATTTTCCCTTTAAATAATATCCATATATATTATTTAAGAATAATTTTAAAAATACAATCAATCAAATATTCTAGGATTATAATTATAATCTCTAAATTAAATATATTTTAATGTTTAATTTCTAAAACATTTTCAATCAATTCACACTTGATTAATTATCTCAGTTTAATTTTTAACTAATAGTTCTTAATGTATGTGACATATTAGGTTACAAATATATTAGCACAAATATAAATTATAATTCTAAATAAATAGAATTAAATAAATCAAATAAATTAATTTATTATTAATTTATTAATTTATTAATTTATATTTTAAGATCAAGTGCACTGTCTAGTAACGTGTCATAATCTCTCAAATATTAGAAAAGTTATAGGTAGTTTGACTTAACATTTCAGTGATCTGTTTTTAGTATAGTTATTATATATTCATCAATAATATTTCAATTTAGATATTTTAAAATAAAGTGTATATGTCATGTCAAATCATATTTGTTTATAACATTATAATTATTGATTATTGAATAAGATTTGAATTCTTTAAAAACTAGGTTTTCGTAAACTACCAGCTGCGCAATTATTTGGTTTCCAATAGTAATCCACACAAACCATCAATAAAAAAATATAACTTTATATTCATAGAGAATCCTTAAATTCCTATAAATGATAAAATAACTATTTGCCCTTTAAATAATATCCATATATATTATTTAAAGATAATTTTAGAAATTTAATCAATCAAGTCCTTCATTGATTATTCTAGTATTAAAATTGTAATCTTTGAATTAAATACATTATAGTGTTTAATTTCTAAAATCATTTTTAATCAAACCACACTTAATTAATTATCTTGATTTAATTTATGACTAATGAGTCTTAATGCGTATGATACATTAAATTTCTAATATGTTAACCCAAATATCTATAATGATTCTAAATAAATCAAATAATTTAATTTATTATTAATTCAATAATTGATTGATTTATATCTTAAAATCATGTATACCATCTAGTAATATGTCATGATTCTCAAATATTAGAAAACTTATAAGTGGTTTAGCTAGACATCTCAGTGACTGATTTTTTAGTATAATTATTATTCATTCATTAATAATATTTTGATTTAGATATTTTGGTATGAAATGTGTTTGTCATGTCAGATCATATTTATTTGTAATATTATAGTCATTGATCATTTGAAAAAGATTTTGAACTCTTTTTCAAATCTCATTCCATCAAATTTCATTTCACTTTATGCAAGGATTTAACAATCAATACTATTTAAAAACATGTAAAATATATTTTTTAATTAACTTAAGATGATGAATTCTCTTTTAATCACTCAAATACCTTCATATAATTTATATTATATTCAATATCTGTCAATTTGTTATCTTTATCAAGATAACATATAATAAGATCAAAATATAATACTTTCTACATAAAATAACTTAGTAGTGTCTTATAACAAACACTTATATTTTAGTTTTAGGTATATTTTATATCAGTTTTTGCAACTCCAATAAAAGTTTAAAATTTAAAAAAGCATCGACCATGAATATTTTTGAAATAATATTTTGATATAATAAAAATTTTATAATTCTTTTTATAAAATATTTTTGTTGTGTGAACTTTATCTTTAATGTATATTTATAAATCAAATATTTAATTCATTAATCTAATATTATATAAACATTAAAAATAAATTAAATATTTAATAATAATAATATCCCGTCTAGTGTCATATTAATATGTGGCCTTAGATGCAACTCATGATTGAGATTTTCTGTGCTGGCATCTCCTGCTCTATTGTCAATCATCTTCAAGTCTCTTTGGGGTTCAAGTTGGCAAGCTTCCAGTAAGGTACCTGGTATTTCTCTTGTTACGGGCAAGCTAAGATTTTCTGATTGCAGAAGATTTCTGCTAGAATGCAACATTGGGCATCCAAGCTTTTATCATTCGCTGGAATATTGCAGCTTATTTCCTCAGTTATTTTCAGTATTCAAAGTTTTGAAGCTCCTTTTTTGTTTCTGCCCAATCAGGTGGTTAAAGCCATTGACAGAAATGTAATGCTTTTTTGTGGAAAGGTAAGGAAGGCTCTGCTTGTGAGGCAAGTTGCTTGGAATATGATTACTCTTCCTAAGCAAGTAGGTGGTTTAGGTTTAAAAAAGCATAAAGAGTGGAATGTTGCTGTGATTTTAAGGAATATTTGGTGTTTGTTTCTGAAATCTGGATCTTTATGCTTATAGATAAAGGGTAGCAATATTTGGAGCTTGAAATTTCCTACAAATTTTTCTTGGAAGTGGAGAAAACTTCTCAAGCTAAGAAGCGTTGCTTGGGTATTGAATCTATTGATTGAGGTGGTTAATGGTAATGGCAAAAATACTCACTTGTGGTGGGACTGCTGGCTGTCTAATGGCCCTTTAATTAAGACACACGGCTCCAGAATTGCTATAAGTCTGGGCTCTCTGCTGATGCTTAAGTAGCTGATGCTATCCGTCATAGTGCTTGGTGTTGGCCTAATGCAAGGCCAGAGGATATGGATGAGGTCCAGTGCGCTTACAGTTTAATAGTTCCTTCTGAAGCTGAGGATCAGTTTATTTGGAGGTTCACCCCAGATGGGGTTTGCTTTTCCAGTAGCACCACGGAGTTCTCGTGGGAAAAGGGTATTAAAATTCAGTGGCGTAAACTAGTTTGGAGACCCCTTCTATTCTAGCATCCAGCAAAATTTAGCATCATTCAAGCAGAGAATTTTATTTATAGATAAACGAATCCAAGAGCTAGAGACAGAAAAGAAAGTTGCTGCTGAAGCGAGAAACTTCAAGGAAGCTGTACGAATAGCTGCTGAGACAAAGTCATTGAGTGTTGAAATTGTTTGCAGATTGACTTGGAAAAGGCCACATTAGAGCTTCAAAAGCTTGAGGAAGATATTAAAGACACTGTTAACAGATTGCAAACTACCGAGGGACTGATACTATCCAAGGAAAAGGAGGCTGCAATGACTAGATTCCGAAGGCTGCTTTTAATTGCTGGTGCTGCCACAGCTGAAAGATTTGCTGCTTTAGAGCCGGGGGGACATTGAAGAAACTAACCTCCTACTTGCAGAGGCTGAGGCAGCTAATGAAGCAAAAAAACATCAACTTGTATGCATTTTTAAAGAGGAAGGCTTTTCAATAACCAAACATTTCATCTCCATGGAACTCGTATCAATCTTGGCAGGAAGCAGCTAGCACAATTGGCAGCACTCCTTCATTTCCAGAATCACGATGACTAGAACCAGAGTGAAGTATTTGAAGATGACCAAACCAAGAGTTATTGGAGAACCAATTAAAAAAAAACTAAAACTGCTCAGTGAATTACTGTAGATTATGTTTAAAATCACTTTGAATTACTGTTTAAATTTTTAATTCGTTCTCACGATAAGTTTTGGCCAGTTTTTTTTGCTGTTTTTTCATTTGTTTTGTTGGGTATGTGGCAGCCTCGCTAACATATATCTTCCTATCTTTTTTTGATAGGTTACATCTTTCCCATCTCTATCTTTTTTCTGGCTCAATCGCACCAGAGAACGCCTCACAAACAAGCCAAAGAACACGTTCACAATTCCAGATCCACCTTGCAAACACCACCATGCAGCCATTCCATCTCCCTACCCAGAACTATCAATGTTTTGTTTTGCTTCTCGGTGGTCTTCTAGTGCGATATGATGCTGCCTAGTGATCTGCATAAGTGTTCCTTTGTTGGCGCAGGGTGAGGGTTTCTTTGTTGTGCAGCTCAATTGTGGGTGTTTTGGTGGGTCTGTGTGCGGCTTCAACATCTTTGTGCACCGATGGTTCTTCCCATGAGAAAGAGTGTCTGCATAAGTTGAGCTGGCGAGTTTAGATGGGTTTTGACTGGGGTTCTGGGTTAGGCTTTAAGTTTTTTAGATTATTGAGTGTTGCAGGATTTGAGGCCTCTAATTTTTTAATATTGTTGGGTATTGCAAGATCAAGCGTGGATGTTGCAGGGGTTTAGGGCCTCTGTTTATTTTCAAATTGTTGAGTGTTGCAAGGTCTACCATGGTTGTTGCATAGCCCCAAAACTCCATCCATTAGACCCATTGAATTTTTTGTTCGATTCATGAGAAATCTTGAAAAAAAATTGTTTGTTAATTTTGATTTTCTTATTCAGGGTCTCTTTGAATTAATATAAATTTTCTACATGTTGTTTCTTAGTTTTTTTTTTCTTGCAATTAAATAATCTTATTAATGGGTTTGTTTTGATTTTTTTTTCATGTTGAAGAAGTAATTAATATCTTTTATTGTATGCAAAATCCTTTTATGTCATGTCAGAAATTAAAAACTTTGTAATTTTAATATTTAATTGGGTCATCCGTCTTAGTTATATGTTGTTTCTTGATGGTTGTTTTTTTTTGGCACTGAAATGATTTTAATGGGTTTAGTTTGATTGTTGGTTTTTTGGTAGGTTGAAGAAGGAATTAATATCTCTTATGGTATGTAAAAATCCTTTTTTTATTATTTTTTGCCTGTAAAAAATTATAAACCTTTTTATTTTAATATTTAATTGGATAATTTGTCTTGATTTTATAGATATATTTAGAATTGTTGCACTATATAATGGATTGTTGCATTGTGTTTTTGGTTATAGAAATGGTTATATTGGAAAGGAATCCCTTTTAGGGGGATTTAAAAAGGTTTGTGGTGTACTTACAATTATAAAATTATAAAATCAAGTTTTTGTTTTTACCGTGTCAAATTATGATGGCCTGGACTTATCTCATGATATTATATAGAAGCTAAAAGCATTACAGGAGGCCAGTTGAGAGAGTGATTAGTCTATTGACAAAGATACTCTAATATAATTAGAGAGTGGTGCTTCAATAAGACTTTTTTAGTGTTAACAAGGCTCCATTGGAGAAAGTTATAATATTTTCTCAATTTCTTTAGCATATATATGTGATTGAACAAGTAGTTATTAATTGTATTATGAGTTTTTAATAAGTGTAGCTTTATCTTTCCTCAGGTGTAATGATCCTGGATTTCTTTTCTTTGGCCAATTAGCATTTGCTGGTATCAAATTTATTCAAAAGCATAATCATTGAAGTTAGTTATTCTTTATTTCATTCATATATTTCTTCTGTTATTCCCTTTGCTTTTACGTGATACATTATTGGGCTAATCATGTGAAATCACTGGTCACCTTCCAGCATGATGCTTCACGTATGACTTTATTAATGGATGGCAATGTTGCTTGGGTCTTGATTTGAGCTTTTAACTCATGTAATCTTAATGAAGCAAATTTGGGATAAAATGTGATATTTTTTTTTCAAACCCTAAATTGCTTACTATCTTTCTTTTCCATTCTTACAAATAAGTATCTTATATCATGATTTCAAATTTCTTAGTCAGATGTTATTCATATGTTACTCCTGGTTCAACGTTTTGTTATCTACCTCTAATTTTCATTTTCATTTTCAAGCTAAAATTATAGCATAAATGTATTGGCAAAAAAATCTTTATTTAAATCCTATCATCATATAGGAATAAGTGATTGGTTAAGCATATTGAATGGGAGCTAATTGCCCTGTCAAAATAAAGACTTTAATAATGCATGGTATAATTGATTAGCAATGCTAGAATTCCTACAAGTCTAACTTATTAGATTGTATTTCTATAGATAGACAACTTAAAAGCACCTTTATTATTATTTTTTAATGCGTGTACAAGCCAAATTGTTGAAGGAATTCTGTTGTTGTCTCTTTGCTTATTTGTCTTTTGTATTCTATATGTCTTTAGAGATTTTTCTGCTCTGTTGAATTGAAATCCTTTGCTTTGTTTTCCCCTTCTTTTTCTGTTCTTTAAGAAGCTTTTCTACTGTATCTTTTGGTTCAAAATTTGTTTGATTTCATGATGGTTTTATCAAGCTATTGGATTTTCTTCTTTGCTAATAATATTCATTTATGCATCGCACTTTGATTCTTTTTTTTTTGGACTCTATTAGGTAGTCTGTTTTTAGCCAAAAACCCTTTTCTTTTATGAAACTATTTCTTCAAATTACAGTTTCATTATTCTTTACTAGCAACAGGTTTGTAAGCCTCCTTTTCATTCTTTGGGTTGTTTCTTTTCTCTCATTTTAGCATATATTGTTTCCTCATTCCAACATATCTACAACCTATGCTATATTACAGCTTTATGGCTTTGCATATTTTTTGTGTCATTTTCCATGTTTTAACAGTGTCCACAGCTCAGTTAAGGGACATGTAATAGGTCTTTTTGGTTGCTTTCACTACCTTTAGTCAAGATATGTTCAAGCAATTACTTTCCTACCTTAATCTTTTATTTCCTTTTGTTATTTTCCTAGTTTTTTTTTTTAATTTATGATTCTTAATTTTCTTATTTCTTTTTAAAAAAAATTATGATTCTTAATTTTCTTATTTCTTTTTTTATGTTCATATTTTGCTTGCAATATTGTTTCTAAACTTCTCAGCCATTCTCTCTGTCTATTAATTTGGTTTTTCTATTTTTCTCTACTTTTTATTACAATCCCCTTTTTTAGATTGATCTTGTTATCTTGAAGTTACTTCAATTCTTTTCTGGATTTTTGTAGATGGCGATCTTTCTATCCTTTATGGATGGCTATTTTTTCCAATATGGCTATCTTTAAGTTGCTTCAATTCTTTTCTCTTTATCTATTAATTTGGTTTTCCTATTTTTCCCTACTTTCTATTACAACCCCTTTTTTTAGATTGATCTTGCTATCTTTAAGTTACTTCAATTTTTTTTGGATTTTTATAGATGGCGACCTCTCTATCCGTTTATGGATGGCTATTTTTTTCAGTGTGACTATCTTTAAGTCGCTTCAATTCTTTTCTAGATTTTTATAGATGGCAACCTCTCTATCCTTTTGTGCATTGCTATTTTTTTCGGTATGTATTTTAGTTACAATAATTATGAAACATTTTGTGTTCTGCTAGGATGACGTTAGGCTTGCTTGAGGTTTGATTGAGACTTTTGGAATGTTGCCACATCTGCAACATCTATTTTCCTTATCATTTATGCAAGCTTTCCATCTTTTTTACATCTATTCATGCTCATGTCTTGGGATGTTGGTTGTTGTGTTGGATTCTTGACTGTCATAAGTTTTTTTTGTGGTTTTTTTTTACTATGTTTGCTAATACTTAAATCTTTCATGTTCTTTTAGTTTGTCATTCAGGTGATAGAGAAGATGGAACAGCCTTTTCATGCATGTTTGATTATCTTTACATACTTTAAGTTTTACTGTGAATAGAAAATTTAATAGTTGAGTTTCAACCATTGTATACTGCCTTTTTTTCCCACGCCTTCTACCTTTCCTTATGGCTTATTAGGGGGTGTTGGTTATGTTTTTTTCTCCATTGACATACACTTGATTTGGATGTTTATCCTCTCAATTTACTTTTTTCTTACTATATTTCACTATATTAAAGTTTGCTCCTTTGTGCTCAAATTGTTTGTGTAAATGAAAAAATGCTGATGTGATTTCTTTGTTGTAGGATCATTGATCATCCAACCTTTTCAGTGTTTTGGTAGTGTCGTGTGTAACTATACACTGTTTCTTAATAAACACTTTTGTTATGATCTTACCTTTCTCTGTTGCAGAATAGTTTGCAATTTTTTTTTTCACACAATGGAGGTTTTAGAGTTTTGAGTTTTTGGATGGACTGTTGCAAAAGCTGTTTTCTTCTATCAATCTTTTGTGTGCCAACTTCTCAAATCTTAAGGAAGCTGTAGGGTTTCTTTCTCGCATCGCAAATGACAATTTTGGGCTTTGTTGGTCAAATGATAGATAATGAAGTTTCATTCTATGCTTGCTTTTATTTACCCTCAATAAAACATAACTTTAATTTATTTCAATGCACATTGAAAAATAATGCCCCGCAGCGTAACATGGGTAATATATCTAGTAGTATCCAAATCATGTGATGTCAAAACAACTTCAGAAATTGTATTAAAAAGGACAAACATGTTTTGATCATAGTTGATATCTTCTAAAAGTTCTCCTACCAAGCCATGAATAACAAATATCAAATACATGTTTGATGATCGAAAGTTTGGTGACAGGAACCATCCAGCATATTTTTTTGTCCCTTGATATCTCGCCATATGATGACTTGTTAACTTTGGTAAGCTATAAATATAGCACGTTCATACAATATATAACAAATGGGTTTCCTTACCAGTAGTGAAGCATGATGATGTTAAACTTTTTATGATTAGTGTTGATGAAGTTAGGCACGCTTTAGTTCTGTTTAGTTTACAATTAGATAGGTTAATCGTGTCGTTGCCACGAGTTATTTTTAAAAATACACTACTTTTAATTGTAAAATAATTACATGAAAAGCAAAATGCTTTATAAATATGCAATTAATAAAAATCAATAACTAGTAGCATTAAAAGATATATAATTTAGCTTTCAAATAATAAATAAATAAGATGTAAAAACCTTGCTTACTCAATCTTGAATTTAATATAAAAATCAAATTATAATATATAAAAGAACATTAATCTAACAAAGACATTATTTAAACAATTTGAAATAAAAGTTAACACTATAAACAAAAGGAGTATAAAAATTCAAGTTTTGAGTGCGAAATAAAGTCCCAACAATTATTAGTAAGTAAAGAGTAATAAATATTTGTTAACTCCTTGTTCTTATAAATACCTGAATGACTTAGTTAAGTATCTGCAAAAACATTTTATATGTCCATCTATATGTTTATACTTGATGTATAAAATGAGTATAATACATACCTCAAACACTTAAAATAAAAGTTGGCACTATAAACAAAAAGAGTATAGAAATCCAATTTTCGAGTGAAAAGTAAAATCCCAGCAATTGTTAATAAGTAAAAAGTAACAAATATTTGTCAATTCCTTGTTATTATAAATACCTTAATAACATAGTTAAGTGTCGCAAAAACATTTTATATGTTCATTTATGTGTTTAAACTTGGAGTACAAAATGAGTATGATATAAGGTAATTTTTTTTCCCAAAAGAAAACAACATAAAAGCACCTAAAGCGTTTAAACTTTATTGGATAAGCATTGGCCAACTTTATAAAATGTTTCTTTTATTTTACTTTTTTAGATTGAAAGCACCTAAAGTGTTTAAACTTTATTGGATAAGCATTGGCCAAATAGTTTTCTCCTCCATCAATTCTGGATGTAATCTTGAGAAAGAGAGAGAGAGCTCTTAGATATAAATCGAAAAAACTATGCATGCATCTAATTAAACAATCTAATAATCATTGTGTAAAATAATAAGAAAAAAAACTCCTAGATATAAATTGAAAAAACTATGTACATATCTAATTAAACAACCCAATAATCATTGTGTAAAATAATGAAAAAAATCATTAACAATAAAGAAAAATGAAATTTAGAAAACCAAGTGAAAAACAAAGATTAAAATATCTTACATCGCAACATGGATAAATTACTTGGTCGTATTTAATAAATTTCCTTATCAAAATAAATTTGTAATAGAAAAACACATAAAATTTGTAATAAAAATCGACACACATATAAAATTTATCTAACAATAATTAAAAAAACAATGCAAGGCTGCATATATAAAAAATATAATAAAAAATAATATTAAAAAATTAATGTATATAAAATTAAGAAAAAACCACATATGAATTATACATACCAAAATATAAATAAAAAATTTATTTGAAAAAATATACACAAATAAATGAATTATTTTTTTAAAACTAATATATATATATATAAACAACGCTTATGCCTAACGTATATTTTTTGGATTTGACAAATATGCCAGACCCATAATATTTTTCAAATTAGTCCTTTTGCTTTTTATTTTTTATTTTTTTTATTGGCTCTTTTTTAAAAATTCTTACAGTTTTTAATAACTTTCAAATCAAATTCATGGTTTTTTCCAATAATAATAATATTTTTTAAATTATTTAATAATTATATTAATAATATTAACAATAACAAAAATAATATTAAGAATAATAATAATAATTTTTAATTTTACTATTCAAATTAAATTTATGATTTTTTTCTATAGTAATGATATTTTTAAAAATTTATTATTAATAATAAATATAATAATATTTATAATAATATTAAACGTGCATGATCCAAGTTTAAGTGAATTTAATAACTATGTTAGACTCGTATATGTTAGGTCTACCAAGTATGGGAAACCCATGTTCTTTGGGTCTAACAAACATACTAGACTTATAATATTTTTCAATTCAGTTCTTTTACTTTTTATTTTTTATATTTTTCTTTTTTATTTTTTTCAAAACTCTTATAGTTTTAAATTTTACTATTCAAATCAAATTTATAATTTTTCTTCCACAATAATAATTTTTTTTCAAATTTTTTTATGATTATATTAACAACAACAACATTAAATTTTAATTTTACCCTTCAAATCAAATTTATTTTTTTAATAATAATAAATATAATAATATTAAACATGGTTAATCTAGTTTACATGGGTTTGGCTGCTGGACCCATGGTACTTTTTAATCTAGTCCTTCTTCTTTTGGTTTTTTTATTTATTTTTTGGTTTTTTTTTAAAGTTTTTATAGTTTTTAATTTTATTTTTTAAATTAAATTTATTGTTTTTTTCAAAAGCAATGATATATATATTTTTTAATTTTTTAATAATTATATTAATAATATTAACAATAATTAAAACAACAACAACAAATTTTAATTTTACAATTCAAAATAAATTTATGGTTTTCTTCAATTTTAATAATATTTTTTAAAAAATTATTAATTTTTATGTTAATAATAATAATTATAATAATAATAATAATATTTATGATATTAATAATATTAAATATGTATGATCAAAGTTTATATGGGCCTGACAAGTATATTAAACCTGCATTTCCAAATCTGACAAACATATCAAACCTATAATACCTTTTAATTTAATTCTTTTATTTTTTATTTATTTTTTTTCTTGATTTTTTTTTAAGTTTATGTATTTTTTTAATTTTACTCTTCAAATTAATTTTTTAGTTTTATTCAATAGCAATAATATTTTCTTTAAAATTTAACAACAACAACAATTTTTATTAAACTTTTCAAATAAAATTTATAGTTTTTTCAATAATAATAATATTTTTTAATAATAATAATAATAATAATATTAAATATATCTAACCCAAATTTAGTTGAATTTAGCAAACATAAAATACCCAAATAAATGACATGTTTAATTGTGTTAAACATACAAAATCCACGGTATATGCTTGAATTTGTCATGTTGGGGGCTGATGCTACCTTGAACCACGCACTGCTTTGAAAGTTTTAAGGGGTCAACTAATCCTATGCCTCATGCAACCATGAATAAGAACACATTGACCTGATTCCTGATGCACATGAAAGCAGCGATTTTTATTGTGTAATCTGTACCCTTGATTCCAAAAACTAAAGTTTTACAAAACATGATTCCAGCTTTAAATGGCGACACGCGCACACACACCTCCCCTCCCTTCAATGTGCCATCGCTTCACGGGTTAGTTTTAACTTTTAAATTATCTTGTGTGAGTTATTTTTTAATTTAATTTAATTGTTTTTTAATTTAATCTAATCTTTCATATCTGCCTTCTAATTAATATTTTTTTTCATTTTTAATATTTTTAGATAATTTTATACAATTATTTTTTAAAAAAATTTATGTTACGAGGTTTATTTTATCGAATATTTGTCTTCATACGATTTTATTATTCTATATATATATATTTTTAAAATAATACTAGTTTTGTCATTATCTTTATTTTTTTTAATATAGTTATTATAATCTCATTATTTAAATTATAAGTTTTACATATTATCATTTGAATATAAAATTTTTGAAAATTTATTTTGTTTGTGTTTGATTTTTTACTATATTATTTTTAAAAATAAAAAATATTTATTTTTAAATAATATTATTAATATATCGGGCCTTCTGTAATATTTTTAAAAGGTGTGGTTCATTCAATTAGTTTAATTTATTATTATCTTTTAGGTCATTAATTTTTTAGAGTGTGAATTTGTTTTTTATTAATTTAAATATATATATTTCGTAAATATAATTAGATAAATGTTATATTTTATTTGATTAAATATTTGTATTTATATTTATTTTTTATTTTTTTAATTCTCTTTTAGATATGGTTAATTATTATTGATTTATTTGATTAAATGCTGATATTGCTTTTTTAATTTATATTTTTAATTTTTTTATGTAAGAAAATATATCAAAGCAATTTGCATAGTTTTTTTTGAAAAATATTTTATTTGAGTTAATTGTTAGATAGCTAGTATGAGTTAATTGTTATGTCATTTACATTTATGGACCTTTATTCTAAAAAAAAGTTTTTGTTTTTTATTTTTTTACCACATGATATTTTATGGACCTTTATTCTAAAAAAAAAGTTTTTATTTTTTATTTTTTTACCACATGATATTTTATTTTTAGAATGCTAAATTTCTTTTAATGTATTTTTAGGTGATAAAAAGTATTGTTCTGGTCAAAAGCATTATATTTATTTGCCTTCTTAAGAACACCGTTTAGAAATTTCTCTCAAACAAAAACAATCTTCTGTATCGCAATGGCACCCAAGAGATAAAGGAAAATACACACAAAGTCGCACATCAAATCAAAAGAAGAAGAAGAAGAAGATCTAGGAGAAGCAAGAATTGTATTTGTTTATTTTTTAGGAATATTACATTAAATATTGTTAGAACCTATAATATAAAAGAAAATAAAAATAACTGCCTGGTTGTTAAAAAAATCTGTTTCCCCCCCTTAATTCTTTTAAGTTTAAATTTTGAATCAGTATTAAAAAAATTTATAATTTATAATTTTACTTTCTTAAAAACGCTTGGAAAAAAAAAAAAACTTAGTTTCTATTTACACTCAATGATACCTCAAAAAAATATCATAATAAAAGAAAAACACTCTTTTAATACGGAGTGTATATATAAAATACGGAGGCTGGAATGAAGCAAAATCTCTGATAATAGCAATAACTAAGATTAAAGAAAAATGTTGGGTGTTGCTATAGTGGGTGCCTGTGAGCGAGAAGGTCTTCTCTTCCTCCGGTAGCCCAACCCTAATCGCCTTCAAACAACGGCAGCGCTACCAGGTGAACCTGCCGCCGACTTAACCTCGAATTATATATTATTGTCTCGGTCCTCTTTATATTAGGTTACGAGATGATTTTGTTTTTCATTGAGATCAAAGATTTACGATCGGCTGAGCACATAATTTACTGTTCATGCTCGTTTGCTCCTTCTCCGCGGATAATCTTAACCCTTACTAATTTAGCTGGTGCGTGTGAGCGAGAAGATCCTCTTGTCCACCGATAGCCCAACCCTAATCGCCTTCAAACAACAGCAGCGCTACGAGGTAAACCTGTGCCGACTTAACCTTGAGTTATCTACTATTCTTTCGGTCCTCATTAGATTAGGTTAGGAGATGATTTTGTTTTTCATTGAGATCAAAGATTTGCGATCGACTGAACAAATAATGTACTGTTCATGCTCGTTCGCTCCTTCTCTGCGGGTAATCTTAACCCTAACTAATTGAATATCACATAGGATCTCTGATCATCCATCTTGTTTTATCAATTTATTATTGTCCAAGCTTATTAGGATCTGTCCTAATCCAGGTGAGGTCTAAGGAGAAACATGGTTTCCTCAACACTCCTCCTCGAGCAAGAAGACGATTTCCCTTTCTCCTCTAGAAAGAGGCAGAAGATTTCAGATTTTCATCACCAAGAACAACAAGATGCATATATCTCCATTGGCAACTGTGATGACGTCACATTCATGCCGATGAACAACGCAGAAGAATGCTCATTCAATGGGTATTGCGTTACTCTCAATCGTTTTCTTTTTTCAACTTCTTGATTTTTATTTATCTAACTCTCTCTCTGTCTGTCTGTGTCTGCCACTGCTGCGTCATTTATGATGAAATATTTAGTTCAAATTCCCTACCAGAGATGAGTTGCAATTCTAATGGAAACAGTGATGGTATTCCTGAGTTGTCTATTACGGGCAGGGCTTCATACCAGGGAAATAGTTGTTCTGGCTGCTTACCACCTGCTTTTGTTAGTGGATGGATGTACCTTAATGAAAATGGACAAATGTGTGGTCCTTATATCCACCAACAACTGTATGAGGGCTTATTGACGGGTTTTCTGCCTGAGGATCTTCCTGTTTATCCTATTGTAAATGGAGCATTGAACAATCCAGTTCCTCTCAAGTACTTCAAGCAGTTTCCTGACCATGTTTCCACTGGTTTTACATATCTTTCTTCTGGTACTTCAGGCACAACTATGCCAACAAATTTTTCCACAGATTTGGTGGCATATAGGCAATGCATTCAGGATGCTACTTCAGTCTCTACTTATCCAGTTGCAGAATCGGTATCTGATTCTTGTGTTCAACACCATACTTATGGCTCCAACCAATTAACCCCCAACCCTGAAGCAGCTGACTATGCTACACCAGTTTCACTTGTTGTGGTACTGTAATTTTTTTTTCCTGGATGGTCGCGCGTTCATACCTCTTTCCCTCCCTGACCCTTCCAGCTCACTTCCACCTCTGAAATGCTTCTCTACTTTTTTTTTCCCCAGTCAGGTGAGGATTCCTGTTGGCTATTCAAGGATGATGAAGGGAGGAGACATGGGCCACATTCTCTTCTGCAGCTTTATTCTTGGTATTGGTATGGATATCTTAAGGATTCTTTAATGGTAAGCAGTTGCCTCAAACTTGTTCAACCGTGTTTCTCACCATATAATACATTTTTGCTTGTATTTTAACCATCGCTGTGCATTTCATTTGGCAGATATATCATGCTCAAAATAAGTTTAGACCCCTTCCTTTGCTATCTATTATGAATGCTTGGAGATCGGATAAACCTGAATCTTTCTCCAAGACTGATGCAAACGCTGAAACTGGCTCATCTCCGAGCTACATGTCCGTAATTTCTGAAGAAGTTTCCTGTCAACTGCACTCTGGAATATTGAAAGCTGCTCGTAGAGTTGTATTAGATGAGATAATCAGCAATGTTATTTCAGATTTTGCTAATACAAAGAGAACAGAGAGATATCATAAACTTGATAATCAGGCTGCCATAACTTTTTCTGCAAATGGTAGAATGGTAATGCGTAGAAATTCTAGGGATTTTATTTGTGCTTGAATTTCTTCATGCCTCTCCATGCCCTACCTCACTAATGTCTTCATATTTTTTTCAGTCTCAATTTGCCAGTGAGATGGATTATTCTATTGCCAAGTGTGAGGCCGCTGTCTGCAATTATAACCCTGATCAGGCATGTGTTGATGAGTTGTCCACGCAGTTACTCAGAAGTACAAAATCTGTTGGAAACATCGATGATTTTAGGGGGTCTTATGCAGTTGTTTGTAGATTTCTTTCTGATTATTGCATGGAAGTCCTGTGGAATGCGGTCTTTTATGATACCATAGCAGAGTATACAACTTCCTGGAGAAAGAGCAAACTTTGGTTCATTCATCCATATTTGTGCAAGAAGATTGAAGAATTACCCTGTAAACCTGTATGTTGGGAGTTTATTCAGGTTTTCTTTTTCCTAGTTCCATGCATATAAAAAATCTGAGACAGTTTTAAATGGTTTTGCAGTATTTTGCTCGTCAAGAATCTCCTGCTAGTAGTGTTGACTGCCCTCCTGGTTTTGAGCTTCTCAAAACTGAATCATATCATACTGCACCATCATCTATTGGATCTTCATGTGCCTGTATGGAAGAAAAGCCATGCAAACAGAATATCCTATCGCTCAAAGAGTGTCCAGATGATGACATGAAATGCATCTTAGAAAGTGTTGCAAATGAGCTACATAAGTCCACAAAGGTGTCTCTGGCTGAGTATGTTGAAATTCTTGTGGAAGAGGAAATGAACAAATTAGTTAATTTTTCAGAGGAGAAGAGATTAAATGAGGTAACATTAAGGATATTGTGCTCTCTCTCAATTTTTTTCCATTGCGGTTAAAGAAAATAAAGGGAACTTGATTGTGGTTGTCAATTTGCAGCTTTATCTCTATTGTTTATGCCTTTTACTTCTGCTGCAGGAAACTGTTGACTTCTCTATTCCATTCAGCCAGGCAAGCGAGTATGGTTCTATCGAAATGAAATATGAGCGGATGATTGATTCCAACCAAATTTCAGGCAAGATCAATTTTTCTGGTGATTCTCAAAGGTCTCTACAAGCAGAAAAATCATTTTTTCCATTTCAATCTGGGAATGCTATATCCAATGTTCTGGCAATTGCTTTTGAAAGAACACATGCTTCTGTTGACAATGCATTTGATGTTGAAAACATCAATGAGCCACCACCTCCTGGATTCAAAGATAGTGCTATTTTCCCTCCCACTTTAAGTAAATTCCAACCTTCAAAATCACTTGCATCGACTTCCAAGAATGGAGCCCATGTTGCCATTGCAATTTGCAAGCAGAAGCTGCATGATGATGTACTTGGTATTTGGAAATCGTTGTTTGTCAATGATGTTCTTCATCAATTTCCTGGATTATGCTGTACTTCAAAAAAGCATGCTGAGCCTGATAGCAATGAGGTAGGGATTTGTTCTTCATCAATTGCATTTTTGTTGGTTGCTGTATTTTAATGGCATGCCTTTTGGAATTTTGAAGTGTGTATCTGTTTTAAAAAATTTAGGAAGGAGCATTCAAATTCACAGAAGGGTCAAGGAAATTTCACAGTCCAGACTCTTCAGTGTTGTCATTGGTTTCAAGTAAATACACATATCACCGGAAGAAAAAGTTGGCAGGAAAGAAGTTGGGTTCATCTTCTCATTCTATTATTACAGATGCTGGGTTGCAGAAATGGCCCATGGAGAAGTCAAGAAAGCAAAACTTTCTTAGAAATGTCTCTGAGAATGTAGTAGTTCCACCTGTAGGGTCTCCTAAGAAGAAGGAAAGAATCAAGGGCCAGGCTGAATCATCTGTTTATGGTAGGCCTTCAAAAGCCACTTTCGTTGAATTACCTGTCAATGCCAGGCCTTCAAAAGCCACTTTCGTTGAATTACCTGTCAATGCCAGGCCTTCAAAAGCCACTTTCGTTGAATTACCTGTCAATGCCAGGCCTTCAAAAGCCACTGTTAGAAGCACCGTAAAAAGGGTTCAATCATTGCCCGAAAATGCTGGTCATCAGAAAGTAATGAAGATTGCACAAGCAGTTAATGGTATGATTCTTTCTTAAAACTTCTTGTTTCTTTGTAGATGAAAAGCCTTAAAAATCATGAAGTCATGTAATTTCTTTTCAACTGTTAATGATTTATTATTCAGATGATAAAGTTGCCCAAGAAGCCATAAAAGCCTCAAGGGAGAGGGCTGGGAAAGTTTTTGATTGCAATGGCTGTGATGTTGAAATTGAAAATGCAGAGACTACTGAATGTTCTAAGAAGACTCTAAACAGTAAGAAATGCTATGATTATGTTGTGTTGTGTGCAAAACATTTTTCTTTCTCCTTTTTATTGATTGTTTCATCTTGTGTATAGCAAAGAAGTTGTCAAAGTCGAAAAGGAAAGGCACAGTAGCTGGTGGATCTGTATCACATCCTATGAAGTTTCTAAAAGTAGAAAACAATGCTGTCAAGCAAGCAGCAAGTAGACAGGTTTCAGTACGGAAGGCAAAGTCCAGTAAATCCAGGGCATTAAATCCCTGCCCTATAACTGATGGTTGTGCTCGATCTTCAATTAATGGTTGGGAATGGCATTCATGGTCACTTAGTGCTAGCCCTGCTGAAAGAGCTCGTGTTAGGGGAGTGCCACGCATTCATGCCAAGTATTCATTTCCCGAGGCGTACACATCTCAGTTGTCAAATGGCAAGGCCCTTTCTGCAAGGACAAACAGGGTGAAGCTTCGCAATCTTCTTGCTGCTGCAGAAGGTGCTGAGCTTTTGAAAGCAACACAGTTGAAGGTAATTGAAAAATGAAGCTCATCTATGAACTGCTGATATTATGTTTTTTCAAATTATAATTATTTCATGTTTCTTTTAGGCAAGAAAAAAGCATTTACGTTTCCAGCGAAGCAAAATACATGACTGGGGTCTTGTTGCTCTTGAGCCAATTGAAGCTGAGGACTTTGTAATTGAATATGTTGGTGAACTGATTCGTCCACAAGTAAGTTTGACTTATTTTAAATACTGGTTGCTGTGTGTTAACATAATTTAATTGAAATTCCTAAACTTTCCCCCCATCCCTTTGAGCTTTTAATTATTCATTTTCTTGTGCTGTTTTCTCTCAATTTCATGGATGGCCTTTCATTGTCTTTCTACTTTCCACAGATATCTGATATACGTGAACGTCTTTATGAGAAGATGGGAATTGGCAGCAGTTATCTTTTTAGACTTGATGATGGTTATGTGGTAAGTAGATCAAATATTATGTCATGTCTATGATTTTGCTACCAAATTTCAATTTTGTGATTTTTAAGGCTATTTTTTTAGCAAGAAGTGCCCTCTTTCCTGATCAATTTATGTGACCATGTGTTGAGTTAATGACATGTTCATGTGGACCAAGTCTATAATGTACCCCAAATCTCGGGTATACTGTACCCCAGGATTTTCATATAGCTTTGTTTTCTTCCCCAGCACTGTTCATATTAATGGACTGCCTAATGGGGCTTCTGGTTAAGGTTTGCTGTTGGGTGGCATCAACTGTTGATTACAAAATCTAAAATCCTAATTGGAGAAGGACGATCTTTTTAAGATATGTTTTCATGTTATTTTATTGTTGCAAAACTGTGCTTCAATTTATTTCTGGCGTGTGGTTCCGTAGTCCCTCTAGTGAATACTATTGTATGTAGGGGTGTTCATTTTCGGTTCGGTTCGGTTTTTATCAAAAAAAGTAACCAAACCGGAAAAAAAATTTTGAAAAAAAAAACCCGAAACCGAACCGAAACCGGGTCAAACCGACCGGTTTCGGTTCGGTTAGTTTTTTAAGGGAAAAACCAGTTCAAATCGGTTTGGCTCGGTTTT